TTTTAAATTTAAATTTATAAAAAAAAAAAAAAAAGTTTCATTTATTGAGGGGAATATGGAAGTATGAATTTATAGTTAAAACTGTACTCCTGTAAAGGAAAAATAAGCGATAAATGAAGAAGGTAATTGGCGGATGCAAGAAAACAAAAAAGAAGTACATGTGAGAAAATTTATTTTTCTAAACCAAACTAGAGCTATTCTTTAATCGAATGTCCTAGATTCCTTTTTTCAGAATTTATGGTAACTAAATATGTCCCAAATAATATATAAAAAAAAGGAGATAATTAAATACTTTTATGTATGTGGCACAACCACTAGAAATGAAAGGTTCGAGTTAATCCAACGAGTCTAATGGTTCACCGACAAGGTTAAGAGTTTGTATTGAAATGGTTAAAAGCTCTTCTCCCATCAACGGCTTGAAAAATTCCCCCTTCCTCCAAAATTCTACCATATTAAAAAAAAAAAAAAAAAAAAAAAAAAAAAAAAAAACTTGAAATGAGAGGTTCATAAAAAAGTAATTTCTTAGTAAACAGAAATGGAGCGTGCCATTCAAAATAATAAGATCCAGAGTCCAGGGTCCAGGGTCCAGACCGAGACCGCCAGACCCAACTTAATTAAAATGGACTTCTTGTTGTATACAAATACCAATACTTTTGGACCCAAAATAAGTAGGCCCAAATAAACAGATCGCTTTTGAAGAATTTCGTCGGCCCGTTGTTTTTTCCGGCTGCAGTCCAGAAGAAAATCATTGAACACATGCTGGTGTAACGTGTATTAGCTTGCAATTTTTATTTTTATTTTTTTGACCAAGTAATTTGTGGAAGATCCACATTTTTTCTGTTATATCTCATAAGATGTTGAATCTAAGACCTGGTTGAAGTTCATATTTATGATTAAAGAATGTAAGATTGATGAATTAATGGCTCTTTGAAGGTTTGACGATATATTAATTGTAAGAAGAGACAAAAGTATTAAAAGACAAATTGGATGTCAAATGTGATGGCTTATACGAAAAAAATTAAGTACATAAACCAGTTTTCTTATCCCTCTTTTCCTTTTCAAATTCTAATCTTATTCAATACCTAGTATAATACACTTTTTTTAAAAAAAAAATCATTATTTTTTAGTTTGAAATTAAAAACAGACAAATTTAAAAATATAATTATATACACAAAATGTAAAAATCAATTAAATCAACTATACTTATATTATATTTTTAGTAGTTGAATTAGACGAATGTCAAAAAATATGTTGAATTAACTGTGTACTTATGATTTTCTTTAAAAAAATATCCTAGTGCTTTCTTATTGTTTCTTGTCATTCAATTAAAAAGAAGATTGGGGGGGGGGGGGGATAAAAATTTAATTTTTTTTGAATGGGGAAATGAAAATGATCTTAAATTTAGGACAGACATATCTTCACTAAATGGTCTTATATTATATTTTTTTGAATTTGATGTCATGTACCTTCCTTAGCAATTGAATTATGTGGACTACCAGGGGAAGGTAGGCTCCTTTGCATGTGGATAATCATAAGTCATATTTGTTGTGTTCTTAGTTGATATGCTAAACGTTAACTATGCACGTGATACTCCCTATATATTCCAAAGTCTTCATAATGACTCCTAATTATTTTATTCAATGCTCTATGCTAAATGAATCATGACCAGTTAGGATTCTGTTTCAGGAAGGACTGATTCTTAATCTGTATTATTCCTAAAGCATGATCTTAGTTTGCTGCTAAACAAACTGGTTTTGAGATCCAGCTGAAAATGAAATAGAGAATCAATTACCAGATGGGAACTGTTATTAAGAAACTGCCTTCCAGCTCCCCTGATTGTTTGTGTTATGACAAAAGCATATATTTTGAGTAAACTCAAACTGTAGTATCAACATTTCCACTAGATCATGCATTTCCTTCCTTGAGACTAGTTTGCTTTAGCACACAAGATTTCTGTCAAAAGTGGGACCCGTTTATATTTGTTAAGATCATAGCTTTAGACCACATTGAAAATATATAGAATGTGGATGGCATTGTTTGAACTTTAGAATAAAGAATCCTGTTGCAAGAAAAAATTATTTTTGAGTTGTGCTCTTTTTTTAGTGGTCAAAGTATCATCGAGTCAGTTTATATATATTTTAAAATTTATTATTTTTTAATTCAATTAAAGGTAGACTATTTATACCAAAATTAAAGAATTCACGAGAAATTATTTTTTTATTGATCTCTTCATAAAATTAAATTTTAATCAATAAGATAAAGAATGTATTTCCCTGTTGTGACCCAATGGTGGTCACTGCTACCCAAATGGGTAGCCGATGGATTGCACCCTCTCCAAGTGTTGGAGCTTTCCCACTAAAACTATAGATACTAACATATTAGCTAATTTAAGTTTCTTATTGTCAAAAAAAAAAATCAATAAGATAAAGAATAAATTGTCAAAAAAAAAATCAATAAGATAAAGAATAAATTCCCTGTCAATTAAGTCACAGTTGCTTAAGTGAATTGTGCTCTTTTTTAATTCCAATACTTGAAAATAGGTGCTAAGTCAACTAGTTGGTAAGTCAAGTTTGATGATTCAATTGCATTGTTAAATAACCATTATCAGAGCAGCTCGATGAGTTGCATGCTTCATTAAAAGAGGTGGAATGTTCATTAAATCTAAGGATCAAATTTATTGCTAACAACTAATAAAATTAAACCACTAACCATTGTACTTCTTAAAAAAAAAAAAAAAACCATCATCATGACCTTAAAAATAGCGCTTGACAGAAAGAGTTAACCTAAATAGATAGTGTTGCGTACGATATTTGATCTTGAATTTTGTTGAATTATATAATCAATTTGTAATTTTGTACAGGTATTGTAGTCAATGCCAATTGTCATAGCATAAAAAAGTCCTAGAGTACTCCTAATCACTGGATCAGAGTTTTGGGCATTTGGGGAGAGATCAAATGGAATTTTTCTACAATCTAGAACTTTTGACTTAAGAATTTAATGAAAATAATGGAACAATTAATGCCAAAAATATAAGTTCCATGAGCTGCAAAACAATTTCAGCAAAGTAGTTGGCGTATGACATTATATGACCTCTAAAGTTGTTTGAGGCTTCTGGAATGACAATGAAAGCTATTTGATTAAATGCTTTCAATTTTTTTCTTCTGTAAGAGTTTTCTTCTATTAGAGTTTTCTTCTATTTGCAAGAACTGAATTTCTCATCTTAAAGGTATGGACCGATCAATTTGTATCTTGTTTATAGGGACAATTAAGCTTACAAAGTAGCAAAAAGAAACAAACACCTCTTAGTCGTTTATGCAGGCAGGCAAGAACCTAATTGGGTGATCCAGATCAGATTTTTCCTTTCAAAGGAGTTACGCTGGTGCTATCAAAGAAGAAAAAGGCAAAGATAAAGGAAGAATCATTGTGTATATCAATCAGTGTCAATTATTATTATTATTATTTGATAATCTAAGGAAGAACCCCATAAATCAAAGAAGTGCATGTACGTGTATGAATGGCATTGGCTTAGTTTGCTAATTTTGACACTTATCATCCATTGCAAAGTCAATGATATGAAAACTCCATATTCCATTGTTTGACCACAAAAAGGGCCCTTTAGTATCCACTCCATATAGATAAAAATTTGCCGATGATGACAAGCACTTTTATTTGGTGAGTCAACGGTCAGTAGTGGCTGAATCAATCTACACTTCACTGTCAGAGAAAAATATTGAATGGGTCATATAAACAGAAAATGTCATGCCGGCCAAAAAATGTTAATTAAAAACACACATGCCATGCGTGTCATGTATTATTATATGACTTGATAGGAATGAGAGCAACATTATTGCAGTCAGCAGGGCACCAAATGTTCAGTGATTGAGGCAAAGACACAAAGGAACCTTATACTACAATCAACCATGTCAAAGGAACATCACGTGCATTGTGTAAGAGTGGTGTGGTGGGTGGTGCCTATTTGTTCCACAGCCTGCTAGGTTTGCTATAGGTATAATTGGTGTTTTTTTGTAATCCACCATGTGACCATTGATTCCATTTTCATTCCCTATTTTCAAGAAAAAAGTGACCATTGATTGAGGAAGGATGACTTAGATTCAAAGGGTCTTTCCTCATTTATGGTAACGATTGTACAGTTCGACAACCCTCTTATGATATTTTATGGAGCTGCTTCTAGAATACTGATTTAAAAATGTGAAAAGTTTGTGGGGGTAGCTTCGTTTTTATTTGAACTGTATTTTGGATGCTTGCAGGTGCACTCCACGCGAATTAATTTAAAGAGTAGTTTACTTAGATGAACTTTTGAGC